GCAAACGGAATGGCCATGAAGCAGGAAGAATTGGGGACCGCGTTATCGAAGCTCGCCGAGCGAACGATCGACCGATCGTCCTCTTCGTGCTCTTCCTCGGCCTCCCGGCGGTCTCGCTCGTCTAATTTCGGCGACTGCGTTCCAGCCTCGCCTCGATCGACGGGACCGATCGACGTCGATCGGCGGCGTTCTCGATAGGAGACGAAATCGGGGGTCCTCTCGCTCGCACCTCCGCTTTTCCGTTCGTGCGCTTTCGCTTTCGCTTTCGTTCGCTTTTCCAGGACACTTAAGAGAGAAAGAGAGAGAAAGAGAGACAGAGTTACGCGAATCGTACGCCGAGGGAGGAGGATCACGCTTCCGGTCGCGGAGGCCTTCGCGCTGACGCTTCGAGGAGCAGAGTAATAATTGACCGAAACGTTGACGCTCTGAGGTCTGGCTTGAACTTCCAACAGGCTAGCTCTGGGATCGGATCAGAATAAAGAAAACGAAGTACAGACGAGCAAAGATAAAGAATCAACAAAAAGTACATACAATTTGTAAACCAAGACATCCCCTTAGATTGATAGAGACTAACGTTCAGAATTAGCTTCTAAATCAAATCACAATTTTAATTTTAAATCAAATCACCCAGAATCCTCGAGGAATAAAGTCTTCGAGTTGAAATGAAGCATAATAAAAGGTGAACACTAATTCAGAACAGGTGTCTATCCGATCTACCTAACCTAGTATCAGAGATGGAAGATCCCCTAACTCTGGACACAAAGGGATAACCCAGAAGCCATCTCTCAAACGATATCTTAAGTCTCCTTTCGTCCACAGATAGGAGGATCAGCCGACGGATACCAGGGTTCGCGAGGAGCCAGTAGCCTGTCCGAATTCCTCAGAGGGTCAAGAGACATTGGCGCCGAGTATGGGGGGCCAGACCTTGGTGTGATCTTTCAGTAGTATCTCAAAGTTGTTCTTTGCCCGGGGAAGCAGCCCAGGCCTCCGGTCCCGTTCGCCGGAAGTCCCTCGGCCCCACAGCGCGGCGTCGGCTTAAACTAACGATCAGACTCTCAGGCACTCGATTCTCCGCGGGCTTTGGTCGCGAAGCTGAACACGACACGAGGAATCCTGGCGATTCCCATCCGGCGGCGGTGGCGGCAGCGGCGGCGGCGGCGGCGGCGGTTGTTGTTGTTGTTGTTGTTGTTGTTGTTCAGGGTTGTCATCGTACGCAGCGGCAGCGGCGGCGGCGGCGGCGGTGAGTAACGACCCCGTGGAACATGCGAACTTCTCGAGACTTTCCGGTCTGAGCCTCCAGTGTCACGGGGGAGACTTCGGTCTCCCGCTTTTGTCTTGCATCACTTGTTGCTGTTGCTGGCTGGGCTGCTGCTGCTGTTGCTGGGACTGCTGCTGCGGCTGCTGCTGGGACTGCTGGGCCTGCTGGGACTGGTGGTGGTGCGACGTCGGGTCCGCGCCTACGCCCAGGTCGGTGCCCATCAGGTTGCCGCCGCTCTTGTCCACGACGCTGCTCGTGTGGACCGGATGGAAGTATCGTTCTGTGGAATTTAGGGGATCGTGAAGTCGAGAAACTGCGAAAGTATAGAACAGTGAAATGATTAGCGTCGATTCGAGTGTAAGACTCGCGAGTCTTCGGGGTTTTCTTAGGTTCGAGAATTTGGAAATTGGAAGTATTGACAAAAAGGGGAGTGGTAACCACTTGCGCTGGCAAAAATTGAGAAACTCGACAGGATCAAGAATTTTGTCTACGCGTATTGTATACAGATATGTACACAAATGTCGTTTATTAATAATTTTGTACGAACTGGTAGATTTCAGAACAATCTGGAATATGTGATGCAATAAGACTATCGACGTGTTCAATGTGTCGTTGATTTTCGGGCGAACATCACGACGCGTAACACGTCTTTCTAGCGCAAGTGGTTAACCCCTTGCCGTACAATGACGAGTGAGACTTGTGATGAAGATTTCTAGACTAATTTAACTAATTTATCTAATTTTGACTAATTTATCAATGTATTATCTTCAAATAAAATTTCCAGTTGAAGTAGAATGGACAACTTTGTTGCATTTCTTCCAAGTTGTCGATAGTAAAATGGTGCATGAGCTTAGTGACTATGATTTATTTCTCAACTCTGATCGATACGGTTACTCTGTCATTAATAACTTATTGGAAAAAGAGAAAAATTCTAAGTATATGTTACGCCTATATTTCCTTCTGAGTATAATAATTGGTTACAGAGGAATAATATATACTTTGAATTCGAAAAAACTGGGTAATATATATATTTGTTGAATCATGTTGAAAATCTTCACCACGAGTCTCACTCGTTATTGTAGGGCAGGGGTTAAAGGGACGAGAAGACAGAACGCAGGGGGGTACTGACCTTCGTCCATGGCGGAGGGTGGTTCGCTGGCGGTTCCAGTGATGATCGGGGCGATCATGTTGTAGTCGTCTTCCAGGTTAATGAACGGCGCAGTGTTCCAGCGGGGCGGCACGTTCGAAACTGATCTCTGAGTCGCCACTGGCCTCGTCACCGAGACCGGCGACGAAAAGAGGGAGAGGTTCGTCGGAGAGATCACCCCCGACATGGAGCTGATCGTGGGATAGGTGAATATTTGCTGTAATCAACGAGAAGAACATTCCAATCGGATCCCAGTGACTCTCTAGACAAATCGACAATCGATTTTGATCGATACGATCACACTGACATGTACCCCAATTACCCACTATCGAATCTCCAGTTTCCACAATCTAAATAAACGAGCATCAATTCTTTCAGGAATAATAGAATGAAGACAATAAATGCCCGTAAACCTAGTGTTAAGCTTTGTATAAAGCCTCGATACATGAAACATTGGAATAAAACAGCTGTGTTCCTCAATACTGGTGATTTCTCTTCGAATTAGTCTCAAAGAACATCATCTTCGTAAAGGAATGTTAACCTCTTAGGCTACCAATATGTCATATATTATACCCAATTGTATCACTAATTATTATTTCAAACTGTTAGAGTTAAATTATGTGTATCATATCTTTAAGAAAAATTATAATTTAATCAACAAAAACTTCATTCCAATGTACTCGCGTGGAGAACAGCATTGTCCGTACAGAACTCTGCCGTACAGAGAAACAAAATTCAGCCGTGCCTAAGAGGTTAAATATTTCTAGTAAGAAGCATCCGAGTGCAAAGGGTTAACCCCTTGGCCAGACGCTATCTATGAACAAGAAGGTCGGAACCGAAGGTATTTACCACGAGTCTCGTGGTTACAGGCCAAGGGATTAAAAACGGAAGTTAGAAGAGGAAAGGCGAAAGTTCGAGGCCCAAAGTCCACGGATCTCCGCAGGATCGTCGAGCCGAATCCGATGGTGTCCTCACCTGTCCAGGTTGGGAGTGGAAATGAGCAAAGGTGTATTCCCGGCTGGTGTGGGGCGCGGTGACGAGGATCCTTGCTGGACTCTTCCTTCCGGCGGGATCGACGGAGCTCTGGCAACCGGAGCCGACGAGGCCCACCGCGGCCGCGGCCGCCATTTGCTCCTGACTCGACGCCAGCTCGGACGGGTCCGTGGGCGAGGTCGACGATGTCGGCGGTGAGTTCGAACTCGCCGCCGTTAATTCGCCCGTCGACCTGATTATCGCGACCGGCCTCGCCATCGGGGCCGGCGGCGGCGGCGGCAACATCGAGCTCGGATAATACTGTGAGAACTTTTGTATACCAGTGCGGGGTCCGGCTAGCTGCGCCTGGAAATACCACACACCCACCGATCAACGTCGTCGACCCGCGCGTGATCCACTCACCCCGTTTTCTGATTCATTTCTTTCAGGAATCGATCGATACTTTCCGGCTTTTTCTTTTGACTCTCGTTACTTCCCGTTCCCTCTGATTGGCTTTCTTAGACCCCTCGTTTGTCTGATGGTTTGTTTAGTAGACCGATTTTCGTGCGTTTGCGGGATGCTCGCGTCTTTTGTGTGGAATGTCAACCCATTTGCATCGTGACTCTACTTAACACACTGAGCACCGGTGACTTAACCCTTTGCACTAGAGAATATTTTTCTCGATAAGTATTTTCTGATGAAATGTCAATGTCTTTTGCAATTAACGTAAAGGAATACCTTGCGTAAATGAAGTGACAGAAATATTTCGATGTTCCATGTGTTCCATTATGTAAAATTGGATATTGAATTTTCAATTTTACTATGTTCTTTGGACAAGTCAAATGGCGACTGGATGGCGCCTGTCGAGTGCAAAGGGTTAAGAGACATTTAGTATCGGCCACTTAGCCCAAATGGCTTCATTCGCTTGTTGATCAACGAGTAGCCAAAAGAAATATTCAAAACATACATTTTCGTAAGATAGTACATTTTAATTGCATATTCGTCACATCCAGAAATTCGCATTATTGCGGGGCCGGCACTCAAAGTGTTAAGTTTCTGTGTTCAGACATCAGCGGTTTCAACTGACGATTGGCCCGCGTTACCGTGCGCCGTATATCGACAGTTAATATTGTCATATGCGGAATATTCCGCGTCATAGAAAGTCGCGGCTCGCGGACTATTCCGCGCTCGGTAATCGTCATGCGCGAATATTCCTTTTACGGATGCGAATGGGTTAAGCGATGAAAAGACGACATTTTTCCATGGGTTATTCGTGTACTTTGTTGCGATCCGATTGGCGCGCGCCTCAGCGAATATGAACCGAACCCGACCAATCGAGAGTGCCAGATACGTAAAGTTTCTGTAAAGTTCTAGCGTTCTAATTGTACGAACATTTGAATTTGTTTATACCGCGGTCTGTGGATGGTAGAAAGTCGATAGGTGTTTACGAAGATTTTCTTCTTTTCCGTTGTTACGAAAGTGAGGTTAGAGTGGTCGCTTATTAGGGCTGATGTTACAAACAAGGGGTACAAAGTAGAGTTCTTCATACTTCGATAATAGCACTGATTGCTTTGTCGAGGGATAGTTACTAATGAATGCCAATTGTTTCCACTGCGGATTGAGAAATATACAACGGGTGAATTAGACTAGTAAAATCCAGGGCGATTGGAACACGGATGACGATGCAGGTCGCAGAGGACCGCCCCGCTCTTCTTGTCGCAGTTACTCGAACATCGATCAGCTTCCTTCTCGAGTAACTTCGCTCTCATGGGAAACTTTCCCGGTAATCGAATATTAAGGACCCAGACACGCTTTCAAAAATCCTTGCACACCGTCTGAAGCGCCGTGTTGCTGAAGTAGACGCGATTTTTCTATAATTGCGACGAGCGGAATGATCAAAATTGTAAATCGAATAGTACAGTATTTATGTTCCAATAAAACTATAAATATTAAATAAAATAAATCCTGATTCTGATCTAGTTATACCGATCGCAAATACCTCGAGAACCACAAAAATAAATATATAGGGTGTACAAAGACTTTTAAAACTGACTCCAAACTTTAAAGCCTGAGCGCCGGCAATGATCAATGAGTAGCCAAAAAAATTCAAAACATTATACATTTTCGTTAAATAGTACATTTTAATTTCGTCATATACAATTTAACGGAAATCCAGAAATCCGCATTATTGCGGCGCTCAAGCGACAGACTCAGAATCCCGCGTTTTCACGGGGCCGCTCAATGTGATAACCCCTTGCACTCTCAGTCACTTGATTTGACGCAGTAAAACTATAGAATGTGATATTTAATGTTAACGCTAGGTTTACGAGCATTTATTGTACAGTATATTCTATTGTTCCTGGGGAAGTTGATATTCGTTCATTTAGATTTTGGAAATTGTAGACGCAGAGATAGACAATCAGGATTCATATTCGTATAATTGAACGAAAACCGATTGAAACATTTACCAAATAATGCTTGTAAAATTCAATCTGCGTGAAATTGACGCGTTCCGTAAACCTAGTGTTAAACTTCGTACAATGCCTCGATACGTGAAACAGAATAAAACAGCTTTGTTCCTCAACGTACTGATTCCTCTTCGAATTAGTCTCAAAGAACATCGTCCTCGTAAAGAAATGGTAAATACTAGCAAGAAACATCCGAGTGCAAAGGGTTAATCGTCAGCTGAACAATTAAAAAATTCCCTGTGGACATGGCTCTCTCCCGAAAGCCGGAAATGAATGTGCTAACAGCGTTGAACATCGAGTGAAAGAAGGCGAGCAATGTTCGTCCGCGCGAGCACAGAGAGCGGGACGGGTTTAAAGGATCCGGAAGCTACCTGGGGCAGTTGCTGCGTATTCTCGGCCTCCTGGCAGACGAACGTGACGAAGTCCGAGAGGGTGTCGTGACCGTTCTCGGGGTACTTGACCACCCCCGCGGAGGCAGGGTGCTCCGGTTGGTAGTAGCCGAGCCCGGACATACTCTGACCGGAACCACCGGCCAGCCCTTCGTGCGGCGAGTGCAATCCTGAAACACAATTCACCACTGTGATCCTCCGGCCATCCTGTCCGCGGCCACGTTCAACCACCCCCTCGACCACCAGCGACGTCTTTCGCCGAATCGTCTCCGTTTTCCGCATCCCCTTCCGTCAGAATCGCTAGACAACGCTCAACCGTCGAGTCGCTTGAGAAACTTTGATATACTCGATTTTTTTTCAGATCTTAGGTAATTATTCGTTTGTTCACTTGAGAAAATTTTGGAAGAAATTTCGAGAGGGTCTTTCTATTGGATCGTTAGAAAGCTGTGAAGCTTGATATGTGATAACAACGGATTAATCGAACGTTAGGTAGTGTTAGCAAATAGTTCTCGAGATTGTTAATGATTAGTCAGAATTCGTTTATTATTCGGTTATTATTGAACGCTCGAGTTTGGCAGAAGCGGGAGCAAAACAGAGGTAACGATTGCCGCTGTAAGTCTGTTAGGGGGTGGTTTTAGTGGTGTATCAAAGGGGGGCGTGGGAGGAGGGAGGCGACCAACTATAACGATCGTGTTAAGTATATATATATATATGTATATATATATGAGGCACTCCAAGCGTGAGGCTGGCTGGCTGAAATGTACATGTACCCGTATACGCGTGCACGCGCGCGCGCGCGCGCTCGAGTATATTGGAGAATAGTTTGTTTTGTAACAAGGATATTCGATAATACGATGTATGGTTCAAGAGAAAGATAAGTTGTTAATATTAACATTAATGTTCCCTATCTAAAGATTGTTCATATTGATGTTTTAAGAGAGAGAAAGAGAGAGAGAGAGAGCGCGCGCGTGCACGTTGTATCACGCGACACGATATATACATGTATGTATATATACATATGGGTGATGTATATATATGATATATACATATAGAATAGACAGAGAGAGAGATATATATATAGATATATATAGTGCAACAACAAACATCAAACAGCAAGATAACAACGATTAAACAACACATCAAAAAACATCAAGGTAACAACAACATCAACATCAATACAATGATATACATATATACGTGGTAATATATATGTATGCATGTATGTATGTATATATATATATGTATATGGTAAACAACAACACCAAACATCGCAACAACAATATATATATATAATAAGAACAAGGTGGTATCGTACGGAGAGAGATAGACAGAGAAGAATAGAGATAGAGTGTGTGTGAGAGCATTAAACACAACAAGTCTCAATCCAAGGTATCGTGAAATCAATCGATAACCAATAATCAAAGTCAATTCAGTCAATGGTAAGAAGTTCAATTCCATCCAGCATACGACATACCCAGAGCATTGGCCGTGTGACAGTGAGTGAGATAGAGATAATTATGGTGTGCACGGTTAATAATCAGACCAACCGGGCACGGCCTCGATCGAGCTTCAACCCCTTCGATCTGTAACGGATCACGGATCGTCGTCGACGCTCGACGGACGCGTCGTCCTGTCGTTTCCAGATTTCTTTCGGAATTCCGGGAATCCGTCGAATGTTCACTGTCCTCCACGGTTACAGATCCAGTTCAGAATTTTGGAAGCAAAATTTCGATGTTCAACTTCGCGAACGACCTGTCGTCGACCGGCGATTCGAAGTCTCAGGGAGAATTTCGGATCGTTTCGGACGTTTCGCGAAATCCCGTCACATTTCACGTGTAACTCGTCCGGAACGATCAATCACGGTTCCAGAATTATAATCTCCGTCGCGGATTCCCGGGAAGAGACGCTTCTCGAAAACATTTCGAATCTCCCGCCGGAAAACCGTGATCCGCTTAGGGGTCTCGATAAAACTCGAGTCCGCGCCCTTAAAAAATAGTATTACGTGAACAGGTGTACAAGGGTGTAACAGGGTGGGCAGACAGACAGACGGACAGACGGGCAGACAGACAGACAGACGGACAGACAGACAGACAGACAGACAGATAGACGGACGTACGGACGGACAGACGAACAGACAGACGAACAGACAAACAGACAGACGGACGGACAGACA